CCTACCTGGCTGCAAAGCTGTTATGTCCTGAACGGATACCCTGAGAGCATCAACACAGCGAGCATCATTCAGCCTCACCCGACGTTAGGTTGGGCATGGAGCTCAGCGGTCACAGCCCCATAGCTCACCACTGCCTCTAGCAGCGCCCAAGAACCGTTTGCTCAGAGGGGGTGGCACTTTCCATCAGCGAGAAAGGCTGAAACCATCCACACACCAACAATCAACAAGTGCCTCAGAGGGTGATGGGTTCAGATACCAGCAACCTGGTCTGGACTGAACTGACAGTCTTAAAAAAAAAATCTTTTCCAGCCATTCAAGGCCATCTGATCTCTGCAGCAATAAGCTCAAAGAATTTACCTTCTCCCAGAGAGATTCCTGGAGCATAGCTGTAGCAGGATCTGCAATTTTTGAAAGAGGAAAGGCATGTTACAGGGACGGTAATGCAGCAGGTAGCATCAATATTGCAGAGCCTGGCCACTGCTGAACACAAGGAAGCCATGAGCTCCTTCTCTGCTCCATGGGCAGTGTTGTGACCCAAGAAGAAAGAGCAGTAGTTGCCGAGAGAAGTCTCCTCCCAGGCTGTAACGGAGGGTTTTCGTGTCCTCAGAGACCTCCAGCCTTTCCCCATAAACAGTCCCTACAAATCCCATTGCCCGCACCTAGGTCACACTGCGCCATCTCAATGACAGCCACAGGGATTAGTCCAACTGACCTCTTTCACCGACCAGGATAAGGAGCAGGCAGTCACGGTCCACCTCGGATTTAGCAAGTTTGATCTGGCATGGGGAAGGGACACGGTGCGTGCTCTCTTCACATATTACGCTCCATAAATCGGATCCCTTCATCTCTAAAAAATGTTTCTGCAAGATTTTCAAACAGACAGCCGTTAAACCAACCAACTGACTAATTCTCCATCTCAATTATAGTGATGATGCATCTTCTACTTGCAATGCTGTGCATGCACATGTCGTATTTTGGTGGTTTGTCTGCGCCATGCAGAAGCAATGACATCTAGCAACCTGAGCACTGGACTGGGGGGGGGTCAGACCTTCAATTCCCAACTCATCACTACTTTGTGCACTGATACCATCACCTAGCAAATTGAGATATTGATACTAGTTTCTTAACTTAATGAGAATGAATGAAATGAAGATATTATTAGCAACTCTTGTGAGTGTCATTTAAACAAAGCTAAATTTAGGATCTGAATTGCCTGGGCCAGTCCCTTCAATTTTTGGAATGAAAAAGCAGCCTAAAGAGTCCCTATTGTTTCGGATTCTCAGGCAGCGTCTGGGAAAGGAGGGAAATAACAAAGAAGCAGTTAGCTTTCCTGTTTAGGAAACGTCTTTAGTGTTTTTGCTAGGTTGCTGATCAAAGGCTGGGGAAAAAAATACACATTTCTCACATTTTAGAGCTGAACTGACTCTTGGGTGGAAGAGGAAGAGAAGAGAGGAGCCGCAGCCTTTCCCTTCTGCTAGCCAATTCATGCATCAAACAGGATAGGCCTTCTCCTATAATCTGTTTTCCAACACAATCAGACTTGGGAACAGAGCCGAAATTTGCTAAAACAGGTTATCAGCTTCCCCAATACTCTCCCAGCCTGGGACGTCATTTGGGCTGAGCCCACCCTCCCTCAAGACAGAGGCTGGTTTCAGGTGACTCTTGTGTCCTGCCTCTCCCGCTGATGGACTCCCACAGCAAATACCCACAAGGAAGGGCTGTGCCACCAGGAGCGAATCCTGCCTCTTTTATGGTGTCCTGCAGAGCCTGGCCTTTCACGACCGTCCCTCTCTCTGAATTAGAATTATCTCGGTATTGTGCGCTAATCATCACATTCTCTTAGCTTACAAAAATGCAGAAACTCATTCATGTGAGAATAACAACTAAATCATTTTCAGCTGTTTCTATAGAGCTTGGCTTGGGGTTAGAAAGGAACAAGAGACCCAAGTGTGTGTTTTCCTTTCTCTGCGGTGGAAAGAACTCATACGAGTGTCAGAATTTCCCTTTGCAATTAGCAGAGCTGGGTGCCAGCGTATTGCTCATTTGCTTTGGGAAAAGCCAGCAGGAAAGAGAGACACGGCATAGGCCCTCCTATCTGCTCTCTGCTCAGACGCTCTTATCTGTTTCCCAGGTTCAGCAACTAACATCACTTCTAAAGCTGAACAGTTTTTCCCACTTGATGATTAGTTAAGGCGGAGGCTTGAGGAGAGGCCTGCGGTGGGATAAGAGCTCCTAGAAAAACAGGGTTAAAAGTGCTGCAGTTTGACTCAGTTCAAGAGGGGGGAGTGTTAAGAGTGTGCACAATCAGATATGGCTCTATAACATATTCCGTATATTAAATATGCATCCATTTATATATATGTATGTAACAGATGCAGAATATAAATATATAGAAAATCTGTGCCTGGGAGAAGGTGTCTTTACCACTAGATGGCATCTGGGATCAGAATCATTTACTCCCTTAGGGGCTTGGGCATGAATTCTTGCTGAACTGCAGCCACCATAAACATAAACACGTCTAAATGCCATTTAATAGGCAATTTATAGAGAGAAGTCAAGTAAGAATTCCGTTATCCTAAGTGGTCTCAACATGGCTGACCAGCAGAAGTAACATAAATCCTTGCCATTTTATACCCAGGGCCTTGCCAAGTCTGCTGTCCCACAAGATCCAGTACCATCTGGGCTCTGTTGCAAGTTAAACCTCATGCATAAAAGGTTTATTTCTCCCCAACCACAGCAAGATCTCAGCTGATCTCTCTCTTGCTTTTACAAATATTTAATTTTTGGTGCAAAAGACCAAGGGCAGTTACAGAGAGCCTGGGGTTCCCTTACGAGTCAGTGTGGATCGGGACATGGATCTCCCACCCTTTCTCCTTAATACGGCTCCTTAATACGGCCTGTTTTCTTTCCTATGGCAGCTGGCAGGGCAAGGAAAGACTAACACGTTCCCAGCAGGGAAGAGGAAAAGGAATAACAAAGGAGATTTCCTGTTAAACATGGTGGAATATGCATCAGAAGCTAAACGGACCCCAGGCTTAATCATGAAAAAGGAGGCTTCCTGCAGCTGGGAGGCTGTCTTTCTCCTGGGACTGCTGGGATCGTCCCCCTGGGATCCTCCTCAAACTGCTGTGATCCTCCTCTTGGGATCCTCCCAGGTCTACTGTGAGCTTCCCCTGGGATCCTCCTCGAGCTCCTGTGATCCTCCCCACCTCAGTCCGTTTGGCACAGCACAGACGCCCTGCCCAGGGATAACGGTGTACAAGCTGTCCACCAGGGCTTGCTTGCACCCTGTCTCCTGCGTGGTGGCTCCCACGGACCCCTGAAACACGCGGTGGCTCGGGGTGCTCCTGGGGCTTAACTCACACAAGTGTTGGACTCCTTGAGGTGCAAGCAGATGGCTTCAGTGTCTCTCACTTCTTTGACCTCATGGCACGTGATGGACTACAAGGCAAACGACAGCGCTGGTATTAGTAAACCGTGGGGGTTTGGGGGGAGAAGCCCACAGCGCACAGCAGCACGACTTTAAAAACCAACCCACCCAGGCAGCCTGCTCTTCTCTCACCTCTTCCTAACAGCTCCTAGTCTTGGTTTAGGCTGAAGTTTTCCGGGTTGCCTTTTATAATTAAACCGTGAAAGATAAGGCTGTACAGGGAGCGCTCTGCGAGCGGGGCGCGCGCCTACGCCTGGCTGCACTCTGCTGCCGCGAGCTTTGCTGGGACCCAGCCCTTTCTGGCTGCGGAGGCCACAACGCACGCCCGCGACAGGGCGGCAAACGACGCTCCCTTGTCTTGATTCTTACAGGTTATCTTATAACCTAAAGGCAAAGCCACCCGCCATCACCCCTTTGCAGGACAATGCGTCCAGATTAACGCAGTGTGGCCCTGGCGAACTAGGGCTTTGCAGCCTTGCCTGTGGCATTACAGCATGGACCACCGAGCCCTCCTTCCTCACCTTCGAGACGTTGCTAACTCTGTCTCTGTGCGTCGTGGAAGCAGGGACAACGGTCTGCCCCGAAGTGGCAGGGGGGGCTGTGAGGGGCCACTCTGAAG